ATAAAGAGGAGCGGGAGGAGGAAGAGAAATAAAATATTCTGAGACAAAGGAGAAGCAGCGGATTTGTTGATAGGAAACATTCACTTAAGGAATGGCTAAAGAAATGTCTCTAAAAAGAAAGAGATAAACAGAAGTTGTGGGACTTCAGAAAGAAAAGAACATCAGACTGGGAAAAGTTTCCCTTTATTTGAGTGACTACCCTACTTTTCATGCATTCTTAAAGAATCTGTAATGGTTGAGCAAAAATATAACCCCATCTGTTGTGATATCCAATGTAAGTAGAGGAAATAATGACAGTTTTTAAAATAGGGAACATGAAGGGATTTAAGTGGAAGGAAGAGATCTGTACTTCACGTGAAGAGGTAAAATATCTATACCAGTAGATTATGATAAGTTATTTAAATATGTTATAATACCTAACACAAACACTATAAAACAACTATAAAAAGCAATAGCCTCAAAAAAACTGTAAATAAATCAATGTTGAAACTTAAAAAAATATTCAAATAGCCCACAGGGAACAAGTATTTGATAAGATTCAAAATCCATTGATGATTAAAAAGAGAACCTAAAAAAAATGAGGATAGAGGAAACATACCTCTAATTATTTCTTTTTTCTTTAATAGTTTTATTGTATTATTTTTTAGTGAGGTAATGTTGGTTTTACAACACTGTATATGATTTAGAGTTATAGGTTCTCAACTCTCCAGATATATGCTACCACATCTCAAAATAGTTTAATTAAAAAAAAAAAAAGGATAACTTACCTTAATATTTTCCTTACCAGAGATAGATCTTCATATGAGATAAAACTAAATTAAATTGAACAAGACTATTTACCTGGCAACCCATAAAGCATAGGTTGTCTACAGTCAAGAGACTTAGAAAATTGAAAGAATCTATCACCTAGGGCAACAAGCTTGTAAACTGAAGACCTAGCAGAGTTCTAGAACAAATTCCTGAAAGTCTAAGCTAATTGCTTCACAAACAAGTTGCAAAATCTTCTGAATTCTATGATAAAATAAGCTTTGAAGTTGTTTCAAGTTAAAAGAAGAGGTTTTTGTTTGTTTGCTTCTTTGTTTTATGAACCAAGGTAGACAGTGTGCTAAAGAAATGCAGTATTTTGAGACAAGCATCTGGAGTGCTAACCTGATTTGCAAAGGACTAACATCTTTTCCATTTTATAGCTGATTCAGGTGACAGTCTTTCAATAGTTTGTTCACATTTTCAGAGCCTCTGCATAAGTTAAGATGCTCAAGATATAGCTTGATTAGTTTCTATTTAACCCTTCACAATGACTGGGGACTAAATCATTTCCCCAAAGGTCAGGGTGGAAGAAAGGTGGGGAAGAATAAAGGATTTAATTTTCCCTATCAATAGAAAGTCAGTGTTTGGTGATAGTAAAATGACTAGTTTTGATACAGGAAAAAAGAAAAAGCCTGGTAATTGCCAGGGATAGAGGGATCGGAGAAGGGGAAATTGGTATTTAATGAGTATAGTTTTTATTGTGCAAAATAAAGTTGTAGAGCTCTGTTGCACAATGATAAATATACTTAACACTTTTGGACTTTATACTTAAAAGTGGTCAATTGTTTTTATTTTTATTTTTTAAACTTTAATTAACTATTTTTTAAACATTGTTATTTTTTCGCAGTGTAGGATTTCTCACTTCAGGTGCAGTCACCAGTTTCCCCACCACCATGTTATGTGTTTTTATTTTTTCTATTTAACTAAGCATTCTGTTTAGTACATGTTATGTGTTTTTAGTCACAGTACAAATAAAGTGAAAAAAATTGCTGGAAATGCATACTCACTATTTGTAATTGCTCAAAGTTTGGCACCTTCATTTACCTTAATTTTTTTAGATAAAACTAATATTGACTTAACTAACTACATTTGTTACATTAAATAACATTAGTATGATTTCACACTTTCTTTATACAAATTTGAAATCTCCTACCATTAACACCCTGCTACCATGTTTTATTGTCCTGTGGTTCTCCCAGCTTACATGAAAGCCTTTTGTTCTTTAGAATGAAGGAATAAATTAATTTTGTTAGCCCAGATAAGTTTCTTTTTTAAATTATGCTAGTTTCTATAATTTGCAAATGAGAGCCTTGACTACATAGATCATTTCTTCCCACTAATTTGAAGTATAACCTTTATTATTTGCTAAAATTACTTATTAACATGTCTTGTTTCAATACTCTGTATTCTGTCCCAGTAGATGATTTTGCTGTCTCTACTACATTGTTATACTACTTTAATTACTATGGCTTAAAATCCATTTTACTATCAGTAGGGAATTTGTATATCTACTTTTTCATCATTTTCTTGATACTTCTTATACATTGTTTCTCACCTATGAAGTATTAAAATTATCTTGGCAAGTTCTATAAACTCTGAGGTTTTGATTGGAATTATATCTGCCAATTAATTTGGCATGGTGTGATACCTTTTTGAGAACCACTGAAAATGCTAACTCAATATAGTGTCTAAAGCATTTTGCAACCTTTTAAAATTACATCAGTGTTAAAAAAATAAGATAAAATAAAATAAAATTACATCAGTGTTAAAAAATAATAACAATACAAAACACAACAAAACAATAACAGACAATTATAAATCAGAGATATCCTGCAGGGGAGGAGGTGGGAGAGGGCGGGAATGAGGAGCACAGGGGACTGTGGTGATGGTGCACGGGTGCATTGGTGAGGGAAATTCTATGGGGACTACACCTGAGGGGGGGTGGTGGGAAGCAAATATTGTTTAAAAATGAACAATGATATAAAAAAATTAATATCCTGAAATTTCAATTTTTTGCTACTTTTATTTCTGCTTGAACCTGCTATACATTATCTTGGGAAATATACTTGCTTTACAAGCAGTCTAAAATTAATAATTCTCTCTTTATAAGGTGTGTTTTTCACCACAAGAATACTGTCCACCATATTTCAGATCAAAATATACAGAATTCAGACCAAGACTTCAGGTGAGTCCTGAGTTATCCTATGACAATATTAACTATACTTCAATACTAGGTTTCTCTAATACATTATTTAATTATGTATTCTAATACATAATTCAATGATTCCAAAACCAGTCTACTTATTAGAAACACATAAGAGTATGTATTTAAAAATATATATTCTGAGGTCCCACCTCTGACCTAATGAATCTCAATCTGGAAATGGAGTCTGGGAATCTTAATTTCTCATCATTTGGGTATCAACTAGCATTTGAAAAACAGAGTAAATTGTATTCATTAAAATAGAGTTTGAATTACTAATTTAAATAAGTGAAAATAAATATTAGGTGATTATTTCACATTTTGCTTTTTTTTTTTTTTTTTTAAATATTAAATTTTATTTTTATATTCCCCCATACAATTGCAAACGCCCCATTCTGACCCCAATCCTTCCCCTCCCGCCCCCCCACCCCCCAAAAAGTGTCTCTGGTTCATAGTTTTTTTGTTGATTTTGATTTTCACTTTCTTATATTCATTTTCCTGGTCCCTTATTTAAGTTTTCTAGATTCCTGCTATGAGTGAGACCATCCGGTATTTTTCTTTTTCTTTTTGGCTTATTTCGCTGAGCATGATCCCTTCCAGTGCCATCCATGTTGCTGCAAATTGCATATGTTTATCTTTTTTGAATGCTGAGTAATATTCCATGGTATATATGTACCACATCTTCTTGATCCAGTCATCTATTTTTGGGCATTTGGGTTGTTTCCAAAGCTTAGCTATTGTAAACAGTGCTGCTATAAACATAGGAGTGCAGGTGCTCTTTGGAATTGATGTTTCTGTGTCCTTTGGGTAAATACCTAGGAGTGGAATTGCTGGATCATATGGAAGCTCTATGTTTAGTAGGTCCAGAAATCTCCACACAGCTCTCCATAGTGGTTGGACCAGTTTGCACTCCCACCAACAGTGCACAAGAGTTCCTTTTTCTCCACATCCTCGCCAACATTTGTTGTTGCTAGTTTTTTTAATATGTGCCATTCTCACTGGTGTGAGATGGTATCTCATGGTAGTTTTGATTTGCATTTCCCTGATTACAAGTGATGTTGAACATTTTTTCATATGTCTGTTGGCCATTTGCATTTCCTCTTCAGAGAAGTTTCTTTTTAGCTCTTCTGCCCATTTTTTGACTGGATTATTTTCTTTGTTGTTGCTGAGTCTCATCAGCTCTTTGCAGATTTTTGTGATCAGTCCTTTATCATTAGTGTTGGGTGCAAAAATGTTCTCCCAGTTGGTGGGGTTTCTCTTTGTTTTTATTTCACATTTTGCTTTTTTCAATTGGATAATGTAGAGGTTGTATGAAAAAAGAGTTTGAATAAAAGACTTCATTTTGAAGGCTATTTCAGTGATTGAATAGCCTAATCCCAGAAGCTATAAAACTGCCTGTGGATATTACACTGGCATTTTACTATAATCTAGAATTTTCTGAGGCCTAACTAATATTCATCAAAAGGCAAGATTCTACTGTGACATGCAAACAACTGGGTGGAGCACACAAATCATTGTTGTAATTCTCAGACTTAAAAGCAGGTTATATATGACCCTCAAATCAATCTTTAAATAGTTTTATGATACCTTTAGTGAAATACCTACTACTACTACTTGCTTTGCATTTTTTAAAAATTTCCTATATTGCTCCTAAAATGGGTAGGACTTAGATCCTAATGCTATTGTCTAAGCAAATGCATCTAACACTGGAAATTGAGTTCTGAAAAAAACTGTGAGTGCCTTTTAAATATTTTTTAAAATTCCAGGTATAAAAATTCCAGTCATGAATACAAAATAATATCACAAGAATTTTAAAATTATACATCAAATTTTTATTTCAATTTCAAATATTTTACATAATTAAAATTGACTTTGTAGACAGTAAGAGGATGAACAAATTGACAAATTGCTCAGTGAATATTCAGTAGAAAATTTATTATAAATTCAAAATAAATGCTATAGAATTTCTTACTTTTTTTTAATATTACAGAAATTCAACATTAAGGATGGGTTTGATCCTCTTCTAAGGGATATTAACAACAAAATGTCAGCCAGAAAAAGGAAAGACCAAGATATATACAAACGTAGAGAGAGTTTAAGTGCCGAAGTTATAGAGCATGAAGACCAAGATCCTCCTTACCCAACACATTCAAAAACTGCAAGACCAATTAACTTAGTCTTCATCCGGACCCCTGATACCATCACAATAAAGGCTTTAGACACTAAGAGTAACTTAGCTCATGATCCTGATATCACCCCAGTAAAGATTACAGATATTAGGAGTAAGTTAGCTGGTGGTCCTGATGTGGCCCTAGTAAAGACTCCAGACACTAAGAGTAAGTTCGCTGGTAGTCCTTATATCACCCCAGTAAATTCAGTAGACATTAAGAGTAAGTTATCTGGTGGTCCTGATACTGCCCCAGTAAAGACTCTGGACACTAAGAGTAAGTTAGATGGTGGTCCTGGTATCCCTCCAATAAAGACTCTGGACACTAAATGTAAATTAGCTCATGGTCCTAATAGCACCACAGAAAAGACTGTAGATACTGAGAATAAGTTAAAGGAGAGAATACCAAGTGTATATTCACCAAACTTTGAAGATTCTCCATCAATGACTGAAAAAGCAAATACATGTTGCCTTTCAAATTCATTAACCCTTACTCCCAGCATAGAAAATTTAAAACAATCAATACTTTTCAAGTCAATTTTAGATAAAAATGTGGAAAACCCTCTGGATACTTTCTTTTCTAAAGGAGAAGCTCCTATAGAGGGCAGTGAAGCAAGAGAAGAAAGTCCTCCTTCTCCATTTCTATATGTTTCTAGTGAACCAAGAAATAGTTTGCAAGACCAACTACTTGAAAACAGTCAAGATTTAAAGAGCTGGGTTTTAGAAAGTGATACTTTAAAGTCTCATTTAAGTCAAATAATTAAAAATGTTGCTACAGATTCACTTTCAGAAAGTAGACCAAGAAGCTCTCCAGAAGTAGAAAGAGAACTTGTCACTGGAAAACACTTTGAGGCTGGTGAGGTAGATTTTCCAGTTAAAAAAAAGAGTAGTTTCAAAAAGAAACATTTACAAAGTGAAGTATCTGTCTCCAAACCAGGTTTAAATGGCATTGCAAATGATTATGATATAAAGCAAATATTCACTGCACCATACTTCTCAAAGATAGGCTTGAAAGAATTGAGTGATTCACAGATGAACTTGCAGAGTCAATTATCTGCAGCTTGGGAGACTTTATCTCCAACTATTTTAGTTCACTATAAAGAAAAAGAAGAAGAAACAGAATTACAACAGGCCAAATCTGTTATAAGCCAGATATTACAGTCATTTCCTATAGATACTCTTGTAGAGTCTGGGATAATCAAAGTGGTAGAATTAGATAAAGAATACCAGAAGAAAATTTTGCCAGATACAGAGACAGCCTTTGCTGAAGATAATTTAAAGCGTTCCACAGAGGATTATTCAAAATCTTTTGGAGAGCAGAAAATACCCATCATTTACAAAGAAACCATTCCCTTTAATAATGTTGAGTTTATAGACAATGGTCAAACCATGTCTTCAAAAGATTCAGAATATCAGTCAACACCCGACAAAAAAACTGATTTGCCAAGTAATGGTCAGAGGCTTGATAAAGAAGAAAATGACCTAAGCTCTACTTTTGAAAATTTAAGTAATTTGTTAATGGGTAACCTTCATGAGTCAGATATTATAGCTTTAAACTCCCTTTTAAAAAATATACTTAATGTTTTTTTCAAATATGGTCAGTCTGAAAGAAGAGCACCAGAAAAAGAATTAGAAAGACTAATTCACCATTCTTTTCTAAATAATACAGAAGACCTTGAAGCAATAAAACAATTTGATAAAACAGATGTTACAGACAGAAAACCTATTTTGAATCCAAAGCTGTCTGCATTTCTAGAAGAACTCTCAGAGTCAGAAATAAAACATTTTAAATCTGAATTAAGTAAGCATATCCAGCATTATCTTTTAGAAAAACTTTCAGAATCAGGACATATCACCAAAGAGGACTTACCAAAAATCTATCACAATCTGTATTTGATGAATAAGAAAACAGAGCTGGAAGTGCAAAGTGTTTTTCTGGAGAAATATTCAAAAACTGTAAAAGAAATTATGTCTTTCGTAAACAATTTCAATCATCATTTTATAGATAGACATTTGGAAATAAAGCTAAGATCTTTTTTAACTGAAATTCTCCAAAACCATTTCCTAAAAAACCTGTCAGAAAGCAGTTTATTTAAAGAGACAGAATCTGAGACTATACACTCAAACATTTCATCTCTAAGAACTAAAAGTGCCCCAATATCTTTTCATGAGTTAGAACAAGATATATCAAGGGAAAGTTTTGGCAGAAGACGTGACATAAATATGAAATATCCTTTAAATAAATCTCTTCAAAACTATCTTAAAGCTATATCAGAAAATGACCTATTAAATATAAAAGCTAATTTAAGGAAACTCCTCCAGAGCACTTTTATAGAAAAACTTGCACAATCAGAACTAATCACAGAAAGTCAATTAGAGAAGATCAACCAGGAAATAAATTTGATGAATTCTAGTTCTAAACCATTAAAAAGCATAAAGCCAGTTTTCTCTTTTGGAGATGAACATCAGTTTATGGAGGAACATTCAGAGAACCAAAATGAATTTTCAAAAATCGTTCAGAAACCCAAGGATTCTGAGGATAGATTTGCAGAAACAGACAGAAAGGAAGAAAAGGAATATTTCCCCTTGCACAATATTAAAGAAAAGTTATCAGTTATTAAGGAACAGAAAAGATATCATCCAACAGAAGAATCTAAAACACTAAATGTAGTTAAAGTACAACCTGCTCCCAACAAAAAGATCCAGATGATTTCATTAAATAAGTCACCAGAAAGTCTTACTGATACAATGTTTAGGAAACAAAGGACAGAAATTGGCTTCATGCAGCTTCCAAGAGCAGAAAATACTGTTTTTAAAACAGAGATTCAAGACCCACATAGTTGGGGTGGTAAATCAAAAATTACTCAGCCAAATACCTGCTTTGAAAGAACACTGAAAACGAAGTTCTTTGAGAAAAATGAGCATAGTGACAGCTATAAATTGATGCTACAGGAAAAACATGAAACAGTACTGTTGCCAAGTCCAAGAATCCCTAACTGCAAAATGCTAAATAAAGAATATGTAAACAAACTCACTTTTGCCCCCAGGCAGAATAACTCTTTAACTCATTTCAATTCTGAGGCTGGGATAGTAGATGATCAGTATTGTCAGAGATTGAAAGGAAATAATAATAATAATAAAAAACAACATTTTGTAACATTTTCACAACACAAAAAAGAAACACAAACTCTCTATACAAACCCAAATGAAATTTACAATGAAAAATATGACATGGTCCTGGAATCACAACCATTTAAATACAAAGTTGTGGAATCAGAGAAAAGCTCAAAATCACCCCTCTTCCCAGAAGTATTTAAGAGAGAAAACCTAAAGCCTAAGGTCCACAAAGAAAGAGACCATGTCAGCAAAGAAAAGAAATCACTTAACAGGATGGCTAGGATACTACCAACCACATTGTCTTCCCCAAGAACTATTCTAAGGAAATCTGTTCCAAAGACATTGCTTCACTGGACTGCAAGAAGAACTATACATGTAATAATGTTTTTCTAAATTTTCTACTTCTGTAGTTGGCAAATTTCTGTAAATAATCTACTTTAGGTTACATATGTCTGCGTGCAAGTGTGTGTGTGTGACATGCATTGCCTCAAGATATACAGTCCTTTCAATTAAAAAAAAAATTCTTCTGACTTTCAGATATCACCTCATTTGATTAAAAAATGCAATGACAAGACCAGGGGACTGTTAACCCACTTAGTGCCTTGTATAAAATGAAGGACACCCTCTGTGGAGCATGAATTAGAAAAAGCTGCCCTTCCCCCTGAACAGACAATCTAGGCTGACAGTAGAGCTGGGACAGCCAGCCCTACCTGAATTTTAGCCCCAACTTACCTCTTGTGTTGTACAGGCATAAACCTGTAGAACCATTGACAGCAGCTGTGAACAATGAACACAGCTGGGATTATCTTTTCATGTAGATAGAAGTCATCTTTTTTCAAGTCACAGAATTAACTTTGTTTCAGTGAACAAATGTAAAGCTCCTACTATGTGCCAGTTACTCTGCTAGCAGTAAGGATATGCAAAATTTATAATCTATTGTAATATAAATTGTATTTTTTTTTGACTTTTTAAATTTAACTTTTCTTCTGACCACCATCTCTCTGCTATATCATGTGCTGGTAATCTTGTGGATTCAAATCTATTTTTAATATTAACATAAAGCAACTAGGAAGGTAAATCCTGCTACTAGGCCTTATACAAACTAATTCTAACGCAAAGTTAAAATCTAGGAATGGATGGAAGAGACTAATTTTAATTTTCTTAATAACTGCTCTTCCTTGTTAATATATAAGCTAACATATTCTTCATTTGTGAAAATTATAAAGTTTAAAATTGATAATATAATGTGGATAATTCCACCTTTAAATGAGAAGATAGATCTAATTTCAGAATGGTTGCTTAGAATTTGTTTTCCATAGTAAAACAAATTACTCGTTTTAGTAAATGCTAAAGAAAATTAGCAGCAAGTTAAACATCATCAGCATAGCCTATAATCTTTGGATTTCTCTCTTCTATTTAAATTCAGTAATTTAGTATTGAGTGCTTATGTGTGTAGAGGTGCATGTACATATTATATAAAAAAGTAGAAACTAGGTTCATAGTTTTTGCAAAAGAAACTTTCTGAAGTTCCTTTAGACAACTGGAATCTTTAATATCATTTTTTTTCAAACAAAACAAGACATTGTATTTGGTATATGGTATAAGTTCCTATAATATTTCAGAACCTTTATCCTCAGAGCTGGCAAGGGATATAGAGTTGTCTTTACTCCCCTCTGTTAAAAACCAATGATGCCTAATTTTTTTTCTCTCTAGTGAAGTTGACAACAGAGAATTGAATGGTAAGAGGGCATTTGTCAGATCATCAGAAAGACTTTCACATCTGATCCTCCAAAATTCAAAAATCTCGCAAAGGACTCAAAACAGAGGACAGAGAAATTGAAGTAGGAGCATTCAGAAAATAACCAGTGGTGTGAGTCTCCATGTTCTTCCACTGGCACTCCAGTAATCAGTTGTATCAACTGTGAAGCAAAAATTATATAATTTTCAACACCATAGCAGGAATTCCCTTATATATGGGGTTTACCTAATTGTTTGATGCATATAAGAAAGAAGAAAAATGTTCCCTTTTCCACTGCAAAATCCAGGCAAAAATGTAATGTACATAGAATTTGTCTTCTGACTCTTCATAGTCTATTTTTGTAAATTTCTTTCTTACTGTCCTAATTCTTCCTGGTCCTGCTTTCTTCCCCTCAACCTTCAATTCTATTAATCCACTCCCTCCTCTCCAAATCAAGCAGACAATTCCTTTTGAGTGACCATCTCTGCAAAAGGGACAAGCTGCTCAGATTGCAGAGAAAACTAGTTTACACTAATATGAAAATAATTAATAGCTCCCTACCCTTTTAGGGATACTTGTGGATTATTTTTTTTAAATAATAAATTTTATTTTTATATTCCCCATACAATTGCAGCCCCCCCATTCTGACCCCAATCCCTCCCTCCCGCCCCTCACCCCCAAAAAGTGTCTCTGGTTCATAGTTTTTTGTTGATTTTGATTTTCACTTTCTTATATTTATTCATTTTCCTGGTCCCTTATTTAAGTTTTCTAGATTCCTGCTATGAGTGAGACCATCCGGTATTTTTCTTTTTCTTTTTGGCTTATTTCGCTGAGCATGATCCCTTCCAGCGCCATCCATGTTGCTGCAAATTGCATATGTTTATCTTTTTTGAATGCTGAGTAATATTCCATGGTATATATGTACCACATCTTCTTGATCCAGTCATCTATTTTTGGGCATTTGGGCTGTTTCCAAAGCTTAGCTATTGTAAATAGTGCTGCTATAAACATAGGGTGCAGGTGCTCTTTGGAATTGATGTTTCTGTGTCCTTTGGGTAAATACCTAGGAGTGGAATTGCTGGATCATATGGAAGCTCTATGTTTAGTAGGTCCAGAAATCTCCACACAGCTCTCCATAGTGGTTGGACCAGTTTGCACTCCCACCAACAGTGCAGAAGAGTTCCTTTTTCCCCACACCCTCGCCAACATTTGTTGTTGCTAGTTTTTTTAATATGTGCCATTCTCACTGGTGTAAGATGGTATCTCATGGTAGTTTTGATTTGCATTTCCCTGATTACAAGTGATGTTGAACATTTTTTCATATGCCTGTTGGCCATTTGCATTTCCTCTTCAGAGAAGTTTCTTTTTAGCTCTTCTGCCCATTTTTTGACTGGGTTATTTTCTTTGTTGTTGCTGAGTCTCATCAGCTCTTTGCAGATTTTTGTGATCAGTCCTTTATCATTAGTGTTGTGTGCAAAAATGTTCTCCCAGTTGGTGGGGTTTCTCTTTGTTTTTGTTATTGTCTCTTTTGCTGTACAGAAGCTCTTTAATTTGATGTAGTCCCAGCTGTTTATCTTTGCCTTCACTATCACTGCTTTGGGTGATGTGTCTGTAAAGATGTCTTTGATGTGCAAATCACGTAGTGTTTCGCCTATATTTCCTTGTATATATTTTATGGTTTCAGGTCTTATGTCTAGTTCTTTAATCCATTTTGAGTTGATTTTTGTGTATGGTGTGAGGTAGTGGTCAAGCTTCATTCTTTGGCATGTAGCGACCCAGTTTTCCCAGCACCATTTATTGAACAAACTTTCTTTGCTCCAATGCATAGTCTTTGCTCCTTTGTCAAAGATTAGTTGACCATAAATCTGTGGGTTTATTTCTGGATTTTCTATTCGATTCCATTGGTCTGTATGTCTGTTCTTGTTCCAATACCATGCAGTTTTGATGATTATGGCTTTGTAGTAGAGTTTGAAGTCTGGGAGTGTGATGCCTCCATTCCCTTCTCTTTTTTTCAGGAGAGCTTTGGCTATTCGGGGTTTTTTGTGATTCCATATGAATTTCATCAATAATTGTTCTATTTCTTTGAAGAATGACATTGAAATTTTGATTGGAATAGCATTGAATCTGTATATTGCTTTTGGTAGGATGGCCATTTTAATAATGTTTATTCTTCCAATCCATGAGCAGGGGATGTCTTTCCATTTCTTTGTGTCTTCTTCTATTTCTTTTAACAGTGTTTTTATAGTTTTCTTTGTATAGGTCCTTTACCTCTTTTGTTAGATTTATTCCCAAATATTTGATTTTTTTTGTTTCAATAATAAAAGGGATGGTTTTTTTGATTTCTTCTTCTTCAGATCTATTGTTTGTGTATAGGAAGGCTACTGACTTTTGTGTGTTGATTTTGTATCCTGCCACTTTACTGAACTGATTGATGAGTTGAATTAGTTTTTCTGTGGAGTTTTTGGGGTTCTCTATGTATATTATCATATCATCTGCAAATAGTGATAGTTTGACTTCTTCTTTTCCTATTTGGATTCCTTGGATGTCTTTCTCTTGTCTTATTGCTCTGGCTAGGACTTCCAGTATTATATTGAAGAGCAGTGGTGAGAGTGGACATCCTTGTCTTGTTCCAGATCTTAATGGCATTGCTTTCAGCTTTTCACCATTGAGAATGATACTGGCTGTTGGCTTGTCATAGATGGCCTTTATGATGTTGAGGTATGTTCCTTGTATCCCAAGAATTTCAAGGGCTTTTATCATGAATGCGTGTTGCACTTTGTCAAAAGCTTTCTCAGCATCTATTGATATTATCATATGGTTTTTATATTTCGTTTTGTTGATGTGTTGGATAACGTTGATTGATTTTCAGATGTTGAATCATCCTTGTGTCCCTGGAATGAATCCTACTTGGTCGTGGTGAATTATCTTATGGATACATTGTTGGATTCTGATAGCTAAAATTTTATTGAGGATTTTTGCATCAGTGTTCATTAGGGAGATTGGCCTGTAGTTTTCCTTTTTTGTGTTGTCCTTGTTCGGTTTTGGTATTAGTGTAATGTTGGCTTCATAGAACGTGTTTGGTATTGTCCCTTCCTTCTCAATTTTTTGGAAGAGTTTGTGAAGGATAGGCACTAATTCATCTCTGAATGTTTGGTAGAATTCATTTAGAAATCCATCAGGTCCTGGGCTTTTGTTTTTGGGGAGGTTTTTGATTACCATTTCAATTTCGCTAATTGTAATTGGTCTGCTTAGGTGTTCTATTTCTTCTTTATCTAGCTTTGGGTGATTATAGAGTTGTAGGAATTTGTCCATCTCCTCTAGATTGTTGAACTTGTTTCCATACAACTGTTCATAGTAGTTACTGATTATTCTTTTGATTTCTGCTGTGTCTGCTGTGATTTCTCCTCTTTCATTTGTGATCCTGTTTATTTGTGCTTTCTCCCTTTTTTCCTTTGTGAGCCTGGCTAGGGGTTTGTCTATTTTATTGATTTTTTCAAAGAACCAGCTCTTGGTTTCATTGATCTTTTGGATTGTTTTTTTAGTTTCAGTTTCATTTATTTCTGCTTTGGTTTTTATTATTTCTTTTCTTCTACTGGTTTTGGGGGTTTTTTGTTGTTCTTTTTCTAGATCTTTGAGCTTCGAGATTAGGTTGTTTCTTTGAGTTCTTTCTTGTTTCTTGATGTGAGCTTCTATTGCTATATATTTTCCTCTTATTACTGCTTTTGCTGCATCCCATACATTTAGGATATTGGTGTCCTCCTTGTCGTTCAATTCAAAGAATTTTTTAATTTCTTCTTTGATCTCCTCATTAGTCCAGTGGTCTTCCAGTAGTGTGGTTTTTAATCTCCATGAGGTAGGAAAGTTCCTTGCCTTCTTTTTATGGTTTATTTCTAGTTTGATGCCTTCATGGTCAGAAAAGATGGTTGATATGATTTCAATCTTGGTGTATCTGTTGATGTTTGTCTTGTGCCCCAGTATGTGATCGATCCTGGAGAATGATCCGTGTGCGCTTGAGAAAAATGTGTACTCTGTTTTTTGGGGGTTTAGTGTTCTATAGATGTCTGTTAAACCCAAATGCTCTAGGTCCTTATTTAGAGCTTTAGTTTCTTTACTTATTTTTTGTCTTGTTGATCTATCCATTGTTGATAGTGGTGTGTTGAAGTCTCCCACTACGTATGTGTTTTCTCTGATGTCTGTTTTCAGAGAGGACAACAGTTGTCTGATATATTTTGGTGCTCCTTTGTTAGGTGAGTATATGTTAATGAGTGTTATTTCTTCTTGAAGTATTGTCCCCTTGATCATAATGTAGTGACCATTGGGGTCTCTTTTTAATTTTTTGAGTTTGAAGTCTGTTTTATCTGATATAAGTATAGCTGTTCCTGCTTTCTTTTTTGGTCCATTTGCTTGTAGGATTGTTTTCCATCCTTTAACTTTGAGCCTATTTTTATCTTTTGTAGCTAAATGTGTTTCCTGGAGACAGCAAAAGGTTGGGTTTTGTTTCTTAATCCAGGCCTCAACTCTGTGTCTTTTTATTGAAGAGTTTAGTCCATTTACATTTAGAGTTAATATTGATATGTTAGCACTTGTATTTGCCATTGTGTTTGTCTTTCCTTTGATTTTATTTATTTATTCTTTTAATAACTTTTTTTTTTTTGGCCTTCTTTCGTTGTTATTCGTCCCTCTGAGGTTCTGGCTTTAGGATTCCTTGTAGTATTTTTTGGAGTGGGGGTTTAGTCGTAATGAAATTCCAGAGTTTCTCTTTGTCTGGGAAGGTCCTTATTCTTCCTCATAGAGGAAGGAGAGCTTTGCGGGATAGAGTATTCTTGGTTGGCATCTGTTTTCTTGGAGTCTGTTGACTATGTCCCTCCACTCTCTCCTTGCCCGTAGTGTTTCTTCAGAGAAGTCTGATGTCAGCCTGATTGGTTTTCCTTTGAATGTTATCTGTTTCTTCCCTCTTGTCAGCTTCATTATTTTTTCCTTGTCCTGGATTCTTGGGAGCTTTACTATTATGTGTCTTGCTGTATTTTTCCTTTCGTCGTGGAAGTTTGGTGTTCTTCTTGCTTCCTGTATATCAATTTTCAGCTCCTTCTTCACGTTTGGGAAGTTCTCTTCAATTATCTCCTGGAATATTTTCTCTGTTCCTACATCTCTCTCCTCTCCTTCTGGAAGTCCTATAACTCTTATATTTCCTTTCCTCATGGAGTCAGATAGTTCCCGAAGTCTTTCTTCGTTCTTTTTCCTTCGTACTTCTCTTTCCTTTTCTGTTTTGTTTTTTTTTTTTTTTTTTTTTTTTTTTTTTTAAATTTTATTTATTTATTATTCATGCAAGCACTGGGTACAGTCAGAAGCACTGGAAGGTGAACGAATTCACCAGAGCCAGAGCGGGGAGCAGAGCAGACAGAAGGACCGAAGTACACTGCTGAGGGGAGCAGCGGGTGGCAGGAGAGGTCTGCGCACCATGTGGGACCCTCCTCCTGTGGCCGGGGAGCAGCCGGGGATTGAACTGGCGCTGCAGAGACCGCGGGCAGCTTCGCAACCCAGCACTCAACCGCTGCGCCACCGGGGAGGCCCTCCTTTTCTGTTTTGGTTCTTTTTATTTCTGTGTCTTCAAGAGTACTTATTCGTTCTTCCATTTCATCTATTCTGCTTTCATTGCTTTTCCCAGAGTTCTTTAGTTCCTCCGTTAATTCTTTGATCTCCTGCGTTTCTTTTGCTTCCCTCTTTAGGGACTCAGTTTCCTTCTTCTGATCATTGTTTTCCTTTATGAGTTCTGTCATTTTTTTAATCACGGCAATTTTAAATTCTCTTTCTGGAAGGCTCAGAAGTTCTTCCAAGTTACTGTCGTTGCAGTCTGGGGGGTGGTTTTCTTTTTGTGGTGTGCTTTTTTCCTGAGGAGTTGTTAGGTTGCGTGTGGTTCTCCCTACTGTCTGTTTTCTAATTTGTCATATGCATTGGGACACTGTGTTGCTCGGACTGGCCGGCATCTTGGGTGAACTTCTCCGCTCCCCTCTGGCTCCTCCAGGAGTCATCTCTGGCTTCTGAGGGAGCTTTCTGCTGGTTTCAGGAAGTCTTTACTGAAGAAATGTCCCTGTTCTAAAATGGCAACGCGGGACTCAGTCCCTGAGCATCCGGTCTCAGGCACACTCTTCTGCGCGCCCCGTCTGCCCCGGCCGTGGGTGCCTGTTCCCTCTGTGGGCTCAGACTGCTGGTCGGAAGGGGCCTGGCGTGGGCTAACTTCCCAGCTGGCCACTGTCTCCTCCAGGAGCCTTTTGCCCTTTTCAAGCAGTCTTAAGAAATTTCCCTGTTCTATGGGGTGTTAGTGACTTTTTTTTTCTGGTCGCTAGGTGGCGCCAGAGATCTCTCCTATTGTCCTTGGGGGGCTGTTTTTCGCCCCCCCCACCCCGTGGGACAGGGAACAGAGCGGGAATGGTAGGGTAAACCTCAACGGCTTTGGGGTGCTGTGTCTGCCTTGTGCCCCACTGTTGTGGAGAACCCACACCCAGAACTTTGTGCCCCGGGTCTCAGTTCCAAAGCCCTCAGGTCCAGGACGCGGGCTGTAGCCCAGTTCAGTGGCACGGGAATGGCGCCTTTTGCACCCGCTCCCGTGCCTGGGCGCCTGGTTCCTGCTTACTCAGTGAGGGACTTTCACCCCAGTGAGGGCCTCCGCGCGTCTCCCCGCAAGCCTAGGTCGCTGGCGCGGGGACCTGGGCAGCCGCGATCCCGATCCGCGTTTGCTTTTCAAGCGCACCAAGCGCGCAAGCTTACTGGCAGGCCGGGCTGTGTGCGGGTCTCCGGAGTCTCTTTGTTCTTCTCTAATGGCGCCCGGAGCCGTTTGCTCACCGCCGCGGCAAATCCTGCAGGGTTCTCCACAGCTCCCGTTCATGGGGTGTGGTGGCTGCAATAGTTCCTTTCCACTCACAGTCCCGCTTGCTGCGTAGTTCGTTCTTGTTGGTCGTTTTAGTTTGTTGTTTTCCTCCTCTCTGCTGGTCGGAGAGTGCCGACTCTGTGGGCGGGGGAGGGGAGCAGGGTTCTGCGCTTTCCTCCCTTCTGGTCCTCTTTTATGGCCACTTTTTTCTTCGGGTAGTTTGCTGGAGTCACCCGTTTATCTTTCGTGTCCCAGTTCTCACTGGGACCTGCCGCTTTTCTTCCCTATTAACTTTTTTTTTAATGGGAGATCTTACTCGCAGTGTCTCCTCGCCGCCATGTTGCTCCGCCCCCCTATTTCACTTATCGGATTATTTTATTTTTATTATAAAATATAGCCAATGATGACTGGGCATCATTGAGATTGTACTATAGACTACTGAATTGTACACTTTAAAATAATTAAGATGGTAAATTTTATCTTAATTTTAAAAAGAAATTGCTTATGGAAAATTTCACACTAAATTCAAATAAAGAAAACAAAGCAGTAGCCATATTATATAAAATTTGAAAAAGGATAAAACAACCCATAATCCGACCAGCACCTTAACACAAGCACAATTTTTTTTCTTTTATTATTTTGGTGTGTATCAAGTTATTTTCCTGAATGTTTTACTTATTTACTCTCCAAATATACACAGATTTTTATTTTAATGCAAACATTATAACCATATTCTAGATGCTAGACTTTGTGTGTGTATTAAAGATATTTATTAGCTATTTAAAGTTGGATGAGATAAAAGTAAAATATAAGAGTACATAATTTATATTTGGGTGAAGGGAGAGAATTTTGGAGGAGATAAATTGTGGAATAGGTTGACTAAGAATTTGACCCCTAAGGATAGCACCTCTTAAGTTTTTCCAGCTTCATATATTCCTTTTCTTTGAAATAACAGCTCTTTTGAAACAATACACTCTTCTGAAAGTATGATTTCTACAGTAGTATTTAATGAGAGGCATTGGGTAAGTAAGTGTAGGGTCTGAATTTGGGAACTGTCTCTACAGCATTTATCGTCTATTCATTGATAACTGTTGATATTACAAACTTTAGTCCTTGTAAATTTAAAATTTATTTTTAAGAAACTTAACTCACCAACCTGATCTTCTATTTTAATATTTAGGATTGTTCGGATAGATTTGAGGATCTACCCATGACCTCATTTCAGCATCTTGAAAAAGCAAAATCAAGAGCAAGGCTTTTAGGAAAGAGCACAGATGATAGCCATCATCAGTTAAAACATTTTGCAAGACCATATACTGCTCCAGAGGTTAACAAAAGACGAGAAAGCTACACTGGAAAATATACAAGTCTTCGAATGGTTTCAGCAGGTTTAGCTCATACAAACGATACAATCCCAGGTTATGAAATCCATAAACTGCAGCAAAAAAAAATTTAAGACTTGAAAAATGTTCAGTCATTGTTGATATTATCTAAATGTTAAATAAGTAGAATGCTTGTGAGACCAACCATTAGATTATCATTTCTCCAAATAACAAAATGGTGTGGGGGTCTGTTCTTTTGTGTGATCAAAGTCAGCAACTAAATGTCATCCTACTAGAACCATTTTGTTTTAATTAAAATGAAAAAGAAACACTTTGATGTAAATGTGCTTTTGTTTATGAATTTTAGGGAACCCTGTTCATATTCAGTTCCTATTCATTAGTAAAGTTTTATTTCTGAGTTTTTCTGCTTTTCTACTTCATATTCATATAACAATCTCATTCCAAATTCACAGTTGACTTCCCAAATCCTTGTTATGATTTAAATTCTACCTGTCCATATAGTTCTCTAGGTCTCTTCTAGCACTATACTTTTTATCTTTTAGCTCTGTATTTCTAGATTCAACTAAACACATTTCTCTAGACCTACAGAACTTCTGTTAATTTAGTATCATCTGACATTATAGCTTTTTACACTATAAAGATAATAAAGAACAGATTGAATACTTATTTCTGAGGCATCTCCTCAGAATGATGGAGTGATGTTCCAATTAACTTGAGAAACTATGATGGACCTCTTTAATAACAAGAATCTCTGGAAGTGGCATAAAAATATAAAAATAGCATACAGTAATTAGTTAAATCAACACAGGCTTTAAAAGACTTGAGATTTGGCTCTATTCCTAGCCAGCTCTGCATTTGGATTTTGTTGATCAATTTATACAATTTTTGTCAGTTTCAATTTTCCTACCATAAATCATAAAGAACATGGGGCTTAAATAGAATAGGTTAATGGAAAACATAATTCCTAGTATAATCAAGGTAGCAAATTTTTTTGGAGATCAAGTATTTCTAGCAATCCTCAAAGTTGTCACCACTTGTATCACTCGGAGTATAAATGGGAAAACCAAATATCTCTGGATTTTTTCAAACAGAAGGAACATAGGAAATTATTATTTTTTTTTTTTTGGTGGGGGGAGCAATGAAACCAAGGCTAAGTAAGAAACCAAAAGGGATGGTAAGGCAATCCAGACAATAGCAAGAGCAGGAAGTGCTACCACCCCTCAGATGGAAGGGAAAGCAAGAAAAGGTTGTTACCAAGGTCCCAAGACTGGAAGATAAAGACACAACCACTGGCAGACCACATGGGGCAAAACGTGAGAAATCCTCCAGCCTAACTGCCTTCAAATTATGACAGCAGCATTTTCCTACCTTTGGACTTGAAGTGAAATATCTGTTCCCCCGGGTTCTTCGGCCTGCCAGTTTGTGGACTGGAACTACACCTTTGGTTCTCCTGAATCCCAGCTCACTCATCTTGTAGATCTTGGGACTGGTCGGCCTCCACAATCATGTAAGTAAATTCCTTACAATAAGTCTCCTATTGGTTGTTTCTCGGAAGAACCCTAATACATCCACAATAGATCTGAGAAGCAGTTTCCTGACTCCCACAATCCACCTGTTGCACTACACATAGCAACTCTCCATACAAATTTGAGAGAAACTCCTCTCTAGATTGGTCTTGTGAGTATCTTGTGCTGAGAAGAAATTTAGAAGGAGGTACGTGGAATGAACTATAGTCCCCACCACTACAGCTGATGTAAGGGCCTCCACTGGTACTCAGCTCCTCTCCCTCCTCAGATACCTAAGCAGGTCTTCCTGGCTTACTGAAGTAGCCTTTATTCTTGAGGGGTGCTGGGCAATAAACACAAAAAGGTTTATGCTTCAAATTATAAATTTGTATATTATTTGTCTCATCAGTTTGGTTTTTTTAATTGTAAGACTTTTAAACAATTTTAATGTAATGCTAAATAAGAATATAAGGATTGGGCCTCCCTTGTGGCACAGGCGGTTGAGCGCCACACTGTGAAGCTATCCGCAGCCTCTGCAGCGTGGTTTCGATCCCGGCTGGCCAGGGAATAACCCACATGGCACAACAGACCTCTCCTGCCTCACCCATTGCTCCCCTCAGCAGTGTATTTTGTCAGTCTGCCTGTTCTGTTCCCCACTCTGTCTCTGGTGAATCCTCTCACCCTCCCGCACATCTGGCCTGTATCCCCGGTTCTTGTATAAATAAATAAATCTTAAAAAAAAAAGAATATAAGGATTAAGAAAATCCACCAGCTGACGTAGGTACCAATTTACCACAGTTCAAGCTACATACTCTTTTTGAGACAGCATCTCTCTTTTACTAGACGTAATAACATTAAGATCTCTATGTTTCATATACTGTATCCCTGTAGGGGCAAGGATAAAATAAAAGGCCAGGATATCTTCTTCTGCCTCCATTGAATCAAACACTGTTCTCTCCAATTCTCTAGGTTGTATAAATAAATCTTGTTTGCTTGAGAAAAAGATATCCTTGGCAAAACAAATTAGAATCTACATTTCAGCTTTGTCAAGCCACACAAAGAAAAAAAGTAGAAAGTCCATTCAAGATATCTTTATTGAGCTCCCACGGGGTGCATGAATTTAGGATCTATAATTTACATTAGTAGAAAAGTGTTACTTTAGCCCCTTAAAAAAAAGCAAATTACAACCTCTATATATTTCAAGTGAATTATTTAATGTGAGTGAGGCTCAGTTTCATATTACCCTAAACATTAACAGAAGAAAATGGGAAAGTATAAACATCTTTCCTTCTACCAAAAGAAGACTTGATGCCAGGATAGCCAGCCTATTGGTCTAACAGTAGATGATCAAGAAGGCTAGAGAATCTGAAAGAAAATAATGAACTTGGAAGCACTGCCTCTGAGGGCTTATTCCCCTAAGGACAGCAAAATGCTGAAAAAGTTAACTGGCTCAAATGTTATATGAGAGATCAAGAAGAAGAGTTAGTCACAGCTTGGGAGAAAAAATTGAAATTAATGACACTAAATGTACTTCGATTAATAATTCTGAAGTTTCCCTGGAATTGTAATAGCACTCTGAGCTGATCAAAAGGGCTATCAACTCATGTTCCTTTGAACAGAGTGGTTTTTAAAATGACAGATTCTCCAGTGCACCAACTGTATTTTCAAGTATAATTCTAGTATTTGTACCTAGCAATACAGAAGAAAAAGCAGCAGGGAAAAAATGTCAAGTAATAGGACACAAAAGGCCATGGCAGCCCTAGAATTCCCAGTCTGAGTCTTTTTCATCAGGAAAATCACATTCCGGCTCAGTCCAAGCTGTCCCTGGAGGCAGTGATATTGATGGCTTGTGATAAGCAGGAGGCAACAGTGAAAGTATGGAATCCTGGCTTTCTTCTTTCATCTGTTAAAGAAACTCAAAATAAGACTGTAGTACATAAATTCACTATATTAGTTTTGCTAGCAATAAGTAAGTTTTAGAGAAATCATGTCAAAAGTGTTTAAAATTGATTTTAATTGTTTAAAATTATTTTCACTAAAAATGCCTTTGATTCTGGTCATATGAAAATAGGAAGAAGTAACAAGCAAACTGGTTTTTATCAGAATTATTTTGTCCTTTCATCATGTGTAACCAATACAAGAAAATTTATTTTCTAAATTAATCAAAATATAAACTGAGGATATAGTAAAATAGGATGATAATCTGCTTTTATTTTGGTTTGTTGGATGGAAATATTTTATAAAGTTTTTAACTGAACTACCAAAAATTTTTTTCTGTTTTTGACTTTAAAAGAAAGTTATTATTAAGAAATCTTGGCAACCAAACTATCCCATTAAGCCAACAAAATGAAATGAATATTTCTAATAGTATTTAAAAACAGAAAATAAATTGCTCACCTGTTTGAAGAAAACATGGGACAATAAACTGCTTGCTGATGGCCTGAAATTTTTTAAGAAGTTATTAAAAAATAGAACCTCACATTAGAATGTAAATTTTTCTGTGTAAAAGTATCTTAGAAATTAGGTTTACTGCTATAAATCTCAAAACTATAAAATTAAAAGGAAAAAGACTATGTAAGGAAGTCTAATTCTTAGCTTCAACCTTGACTATTGAGAATTAATTCTAGAGATATCCTTCAATTAGTCCACAATATAACATTCCTTGGGCATTTCCTATTTATAAGGAACTATGCTAGGCAATTAAAGGTGCTGAAAAAAGATAAATGACATACACCTTAATCCAAAATACTAATATTTGTATGATATATATTATATTATATGATATATATTGTAATGATAATATTTATGATAATAATTTATATTTTTATAATAGAAGCAACTAACATTTTTGTAGGGCTTAGATGTTTCTAAAATGTATATCAATCTAGTAATTCATATTCAGAAAGACTGCGTTTTACAAGGTGCCTTGGTTGGGAAACGATGCAGCTGAGACTGGAGCCAAAGTCTTCTAACTTTGAATTCAGTGTTCTTCCCTTTTGCCTATTACTTCTACTTGTTTTTTAGCACTGGCATTTTCTAGATTAGACTAGAGTCTTCCGATCAAAAGATTGACAAAATATTTGAATTTGGCAGGAAGGAATTATCACAAAGCTTCACAAAGCACATGTTTTATGCTAGTCAGGAGTAATCAATATTACCTTTTCTCAGGATCTTGTTGCAAACAGAGCTGTACCAAGCTAAAGAAGGCCGGAGAGAAAGTTTTTGAGGATGGCGTTTGCAGTCTGTCACTATTTACTGTGCGAGTTCCACTGGAGGCAAGTACACTTTCTCCAATCCCAGAATCGACACCAGATCGGGAATTTTTCATTCTGGATTCTGACTGAGGGAAAATACTGATATCTAGAGGACTATAAGGAGGACCTTTCAGTTTCTGTAACAGCATCTAAAAAAAAAAAAAGAAAATTTCCTTCAATGCTTTTCAGGCAAATTATTAAAACAACAACAAAGTTCCTAACAGGCTATGGCAGTGATATTTAACAGGACTTATCTAGATTGTAAGGGCTCTTATGAAAGGAAAGCAGTTCCAGGATTTTCAGAGCATTTACCTGAGTCCGGTGCATGTCCTGGAAAGGTACCTGCCCACTGGCCAATTCACATGCTGTAATCCCAACACTGTAAATGTCCGACTTTACATTATAGCCGTGTAAATCCTGTAGAATAATTCATTTGAAGGCTTTTAGTGTAAATAACTTAAAAAGTTATACACACGCTTTTTTCATTAAAAAAATGGAGAACAATAATGGGGAAAACTTGTTAGAAATCAAGATAGACCTAATATTTGGTATACATTTTAAAATTCTTAACACAATT